CCTTGCCTCCAAGGAGTAGCCCTGTTTAACCCTTTCCAAGATGAATCTGTTTGTTTTCTTAGCAGTCCATGGTACCCTCAATACTCTTCTCCAGCACCACAGCTCAAAGGCGTCAATTCTCCTTCTATCCTCCCTAGTCGTTGTCTCTCTCTGTCTTCCAGAGTATACCAGACATAATAAAACATCCAATATTTATCTTTTCTGTAATAAAGCATGTTGTTAGGAGGGCCCATTTCTTGGAATTGTTTACAGTTACATTTATTTCAGAGAGTTCAGAGAGAAGGGGCTCATTTCTTGGAAAGGAACATTGCTCCTGGAAAGGTCAGCACAAGAGAGGAAAACCTCAATGAGATAGATTGACACAGTAACTGTGGTAATGGGTCACAGATGATGACGGCACAGGGTAGGATGATTCAGGCCTGTTGTTCATAGGGTCACTATGAGTTGTACTTGACAGCACCTAACAACACTAGTAACAAAGGTAACTCTGGTGGCCTCATTGTAAGAAGTTGTGCTGCTAACTCAGAGGTAAATTGGTTGTCTTCTCAGGAGAAAGATGGATAATATTCTCCAGCAAGTTCCTGAGTCAGTTCCAACATGATGGTACACAACAACAACAAAGACACATTAATGAGAAGGTAATTCACATACCTTTAAGATTCGCGTTGTTGGGAAACGAAGATCTTGACTTACGTAAAGTCCGAGTGTGGTGAGTACAACTAAAAAAGTATTTGTTAACACCATATCCACCACTGAAAGCCCTGAGCGATCTAAATAAGAAAACAAAAAGTAACATCAAAAGATGCAGAGAAAGAAAGCAGAGAAATTTCATAAATTTTGATCAAGAAATTGACTTGGAGGTATGGAAATTGAAGGCGCTGTTACCATGTTCAACTTTGGTTTGGAAATCCCATGTCATGTTGAACCATGTGGTGTTATGATAATTCCAAAATCCAGAAAAGCTTAGCCCTATGTAAACACCTAACACGAGAGAAAAAGGACAATTAAGGTTGGGTAATTTTACAATCTTATGAATTCCTCCATTGGCACGATTTCTTTGTTCTTGTTATGTAGTTATGTGCCATTGAGTCACTTGCGACTCATAATGACCATCTGTACAACAGCCCTAAACCCTGTTCTATCATGACCCAACCTTATTGTCTCTGACACACCTACCCCCATTACCCCAGTCACTGAATCCATCCATCTCATTGAAGGTCTTCCTTTCCTGCGCTGTCCCTCCACCCTTCCAAGCAAGATATCCCTCTCTAAGGACTGGTCCCTCCTTGCAACATGTCCAAAGTATGTCAGCTGAAGCTTCATAATCCTTGCCTCCAAGGCTCAGCCTGGTTTCACCTTCTTGAGGATGAACCTGTTTGTTCTCTTAGCAGCCCATGGTATATTCAACACTCTTCTTCAGCACCACAGCTCAAAGGCATGAAGTCTCTTTCTATCATATGTAGTCATTGTCCAGCTTTCTGACACATAGCAAGACATTGAGAAGACTGTGGCCTGGATCAGGCATACCTTAGTCTTCAGTTTGACATCATTGCTCTTCAGTACTCTTGAGAGATCTCTCACAGCTGTCTTTCCCAATGCAATTTGTCTCTTGATTTCCTGGCTGCTGGTACCAAGAGTGTTGATTAAGGATTCAAGCAAATGAAAACTGTTAACAATCTCAGTCTCTTCACCATCCATCCTGATGCTGCCAATTGGTCCAGTAGTGAGAATCTTTGTTTTCTTGATGTTGAGCTTCAATCCATACTAAAGGCTGCAGTCCTAGACCTTCTGCAGCAAATGCTTCAGGTCCTCCTCAGTTTCAGTGAGCATGGTTGTGTTATCTGCATAATGCAGGTTTCTTCCTCATACTCCTCATACAGCCCAGCTTCCCAGATGACCAGTTCTGCATATATATTGAAAGATATGGAGACAGAATACATCCATGGCATACACCCTTTCTGATTTTGAACCATGCAGTGTTTCCTTGCTCTGTTCTGATGACTGCCTCCTGGTTCAAGCATAGGTTTCACATAAGCACAATCAAAAGTTCTGGGAGGGTGAAAAAAAAAAATCTGTATTTGCTCCATTTTCTATCCCATTCCCACAACCCCCAATTCTAACTTCTCTTTCCTCAACTTGAATCTCACTTCCTCAAGCTTTAAAAGATAAAGTCACCTCTGGTTACACCAAGAATTTTAGCCATTTGATCGAAGTGTAGCATAGTCCCACCTCAAGGAATAAAAAAAGTCCTTAGTGAAGTGATTACAAGTGGTTTATTGATTGGTTTATTATTTAAAAATATTATAGGACATTATGTTTATCG